TATTCAACCGCCGGTTCACCAATCAGCAATCCCGGGGATTGGATTTGCTTCAGGTGAATTCTCTTCCGGTTTTCGCGTACCAGCACGGTTTCAGGGTCAAGAAGAGGAGCATCACGACGGTCTCACCAATAAACCGTCCTCTGCTTCCTCTATTTCTCGCCATTGATATTAACAAATCGAAACCAAGTCCTCTCATTTCCAGGTTAATTCAAATTCTGTCCTTTTACATCAAAATTCACTACTTTTTGGAAGTTCGTTGTTCATTGAACTCAAATAAAATTTTGCAGGGCTTGTCAAGCTTTCCAATTCACATTGAAAGCTTGGCTTAGACTGTTTGGAACAGGGAAGGTGTTCTCGGTTAGTATTCAATGGCCTGAAAAAAAAAAGCAAGGAAAGGATGAAAAGAGAGAAGAAGAACAACAAATGTGGCACCACAGTTTAAGGTTCTTCTTCTTCTTTCAATATCCTGACCTTGCCAATTGTAAGTTTTCATCTTTTCACCAGTTAGACCAATGTTCTGTAGCTTAGTTATGGTTAGATTCCAAGGTTGCTTCTTGTTGTGTTGTGTTTGTATCATCATCATTATCCTCTTGTAACTGCTATACTCAGATACTTGAGAAAACTGTACTTCTTTGAACTTCTTGTGTGTAACTTCCATGGATGCTCTAATAAAGTCTTGAACTTTTCTCTTTATCTTTCATATGGGTTTTACTGCTTAAGAAACCTTAAACTTAGATAGGTAAATGCTCTGTTCAAAGCTTGGATCCTTGTTGCTAAAGAACATGAGCCAAGGTTGATTCTGATCCTTTGGCCCCAATCGATTAAAAAGAAAGAAAAAAAGTTGGTCATTTTCCATGAACAGTAAGTTTAATTGTTGCTTCTTCTGGAACATCAGGAGGATTTAGCCAGTTTCCTTAAATTACAAGTGAAACTTTCCTCACGAGAGTAAAAAAGGAGATTTGTTTTCTCTGTCTCATGTCAATAATTGTTCTCTCTCAACCACTTTAATGGTAGGAGGAGATGCACCAAACTTGAATGTGATATTGTCTTTGATGAGTAAAAGAATGGGCACATGAGATAGGTATAGAGAGCCACCCATGTTGGTCTAAATGAAGAAACTTGATCAAAACTATTCATTCTTCTCTTATCATCTTTAGACTATCATATTGGATTGCAATTTAGTCACACAAACAAAAAAACTTGGTTTAAATTGCATGATTTCAGATGTTTACTTACCTTCATTTAGCAAAGAGAATCAATTTAAAATTTACCTTTTATAAGAAAAGCCAACACCTTTTCATGTGATGTAATAAATACATCACCAACCATACCAAATGAGAAGGTGTTGAGATATCATAAAGTAACTTGCACCAAAACTAAAGATAGAAAAAAGGCCGAATCTTCATTTAAGTTCTCATGACTCATAAATCATATCCAATCTACCATTTATTCTCTCTTTTCATTTTCATTTGTCAACTGATTATATCATTCAATGGATTTGTTCTACAAGATAGTTATATAGTATAGTACAATCTTATATGTTATGACCAAGTAAAACGTTTCTCACTTAAAAACCTCAAAAATATCTAATGGGTTTGAGAGGGATGTTGAAGAAGATGGAACCAAAATTGTAAAAGAGTTGTCACTTTAAAGAATGGTCCCCTCTCTCTTTTGTAAGATCTCAATGCCTTTTTTATTTCAAAAGATCTACAGAAAAAAGTAAACAGCTTTTTAATAAGCTCTCTTCACTTCGCTCCTTCACCATAAATAATTGCAAATTTAAGAATTTGAAAGTAGTAAAGATTCTAATTATGAACACAAAAAGTGATAATTTTCTTCTGAGAGAAGAAGGCTATGAACAATCTTAAAGAGTTAATAAGGGATCCCACAAATGTAAGAACTTTCCAAAGGATGTCATAAATGTGAAACATAAACCTCAAAACAACTCTAAAGCTCAACATGTGATGCATGAAGCAATTATTAAAAAAAAAACACATACCAAAACATGTGCAATCACATCAGTCTCTTTGATATGAAGTAGTAACAAATCGTCTAATGTAGACAACATATGAACATTACATTGGAAAGTTTTTGTGGCCAAATAAAACAAGTTCAATTTGGATAACAAATTAAAGAATGGTCTTTTGATGAAAGAACACTTGAAGAAGAAACAAAAAAAAATCAATCTATAAAACCGGTTCTTCTGAAAACAGCATTCCTTACCTGCCGGAGATCTCTCCCTTTAAGTGTTCTTCCTGCTCCTTCAAGCACCGAGCAAGATAACAACGAAGACTGCGCCAAAGACCGAGCTACAATCTCGTGTGGAGGAAG